AAGCTCCGGTAGCTGAGGCCGCGCAGGGCCCAGCCGGCCACCGCCGCCAGTCGTGCTGGCAACCCCGCCGCTGCAGGCCCAGGCGTGCCCTCGGCCCCTGCGTCGCCCGTGTCTGCGCCCTCGGCGCCCGTCTCGGCTGTGCCCTCGTCGTCGTCCTCTGGCGGCTCGCCCTCTGGCTCCGAGATCTGCGCAGCGATCTGCATCTCGAAGATGGTGTCCTCGCAGAAGCTCACGAAGAGCTCCATCTTCTCGGCCTCGCCGCCTTCGTTCACCACGTCGAAGATGAACTGACGCTTCGACTCCTTCACCTGCGGGTGGAGGCAGAAGGCGCTAGGGACAACAGGGACCCCAGACAGTGGCAGATTCGAGTAGCGGACATTGTGATCAGTATTCCTGGTGTGGCCCTGCGGGTTAATGCGCTGGACTGCAAGCTTGGGTTGATCCGCAAGGTCGGAGGTTCAAACTTACCGTCTGCCTCTCGTTAACCCTACACAGGGTCGCTATGGATCGGAACCGACTCGATGGCACTTAACAACAACAATATAGCACTCGGTGTGGGCATTCGAAGCCTTTAAATAAGGCCAGGCCCAGAACCAATTAACTCTTTTAATCCTCACCAATAACCTAGAGAGTAGGAGCTAGATTAACCCCATTTTACAGAAGAGGAAATGGTGGCCCAGAGAGTGGCAACGCTGAGAAGCAGCAGAGGTAGGGTTCAAACTTCAGATAGGCTGGATCTAGAATCGATTCTGCATTTTGACAGCTCTCTGGACCTCAGTTTACCCCTCTGTTAAATGGAGATTATAGTAGGACCTGCATGGTGAAGATTAAATGAGCTCTTGCTGAGTTAGACGTTAGAAATCCACTAACCTAATCCAAAACCCACAACCATCCAGTGGATTCGGACTCATCAGGACCCTATAAGACAGATTTGTTGTTGTTAAGTGCCTTTGAATCAGTTCTGACCCTGTATAGGGTTTCCAAGGAGTGGCTGGTGAGTTTGAACCGCTGACCTTGTGGTTCAAACAGATCTTTTTGGTCCAGTGCCACACCAGGACTCTATAGGACAGATACGGTTTTTAAAACTGTAAATCTTTCCTGGAGCACACAGCCTCATGTTTCTCCTTCAGAGAGGTTGGTGGGTTTGCACTGGTGACCTTGTAGTTTGCAGCCCAACAGTTAACCCACAGAACAGCTCCTGGCACCATACAGGTACCTGGGGTCACTTGAAGAACCAAAGAAAAGTGTGAGTCTAAGGAACAGGCAGGCCAATGGATGAATGAAGGTCACAAGAGCAGCAGTGTAAGGCTGGGAACTGAGGGCACTTAAGGGGCATATCGCAGTGCCAGTGTGTAGTGGGCTGGGGGTGTGCCAGGGCCAGGGGTGGAAAGTGGATAAGAAATGCTCAAACATTTGTGGGGTTGAGACTGGGCCCATCTGGAAGTGGAGCAGGCACAAGACACTGAGGAGAAGCAGGGACCCTTGTGAATGAGTGTGAGAATTGTCTAAGTGTACAGGAATCCTGGTGTGGAGCTGTGGGTTAATGCGCCAGACTGCAAAGCCATTTGAACAGCAAGGTCAGCAGTTCAAGCTCATCAGCTGCTCCTTGGAAACCCTATACAGGGTCGCTATGGGTCGGAACCGACTCAACGGCACTTCACAACAACAACAGGGGTGTACCCCAATAAGGGCAGGCCTGGGGGTGTGTACAGGGCAGGGAGAGTGAATAAGTGATCAACCATGCAGTGTGCCAAGCCTGCAGAGGACATATGAGCAACCTCAAGAGGCCCCTCCCTGTAAGAGCCATGCACCCACGTGTGGGCCCAGAATAAGTGGGGTGAGCATGGTGTGTTAGGACCTCAGATGACATTTAAGGACACATGGAATGACTGTCTAGGCTTGGGTCAGCATGCTAGGACACTCCAGAGCCTACATGTATGCAACATGGTGGGCATGAATGGTCTGCTGGAAGGGCAAGTAAAGCAGGCTCACAGGGGGAGTGTACAAGGGTGTGCATTCCTTCCTGGCAAACTCTGCAAAGGGGGACATGGGTGAGCCAGAGGCATGCAAGGGTACAACAGGGCCCATACATGTGTGCAAAGGGAGGAACACAGGACTGCCTGCAAGCAGCGAGTGTCCATCAGGACCTGCAGAACAGATGCACAAGGCGTACACAGCCGTATCTGGGCTCCAAACTGCAAGGCATGGGCACATAGAATATTCCGGCACACAGAACAGATGCACAAGGCGTACACAGCCGTATCTGGGCTCCAAACTGCAAGGCATGGGCACATAGAATATTCCGGCACACAGAAACCTCGCGAGGCAGACATGCACATACACGGACCGGCTGACCTGGGGCATCTCCCATTGAGCGCGGTTGGTCTCAGAGATCTCAAAGTAGATCCGCTCGATGCGGCGCGAGGCGCCCATGATCTCGATGCGACCCAGGTAGGGCCGGAAGTACTCGAGGATGCTCTCCGCCAGCTCTAGGAAGCTGCGCAGGCGCTGGTCGTGCGGCACGTGCTCTGACAGGTTGGTTAGCAGCACCGCCACATTGAAGCCAATGTCGCGGGCTGGCTCTTCGAAACGGTTGGCGAACTCTTCGCAGTTGATCATCTCATTCTCATCCGCTTCGGAGCAAGAAAGCAGGAACTGGATTTCTGGTCCCGTGAACTGCTTCTGGCTGTCCATGGCCTAGGGGACGGTTCAGGTAGGTCAGTAGGTAGCAGTGTCTCAGTACTCGTCTAAAAATAACTCTGGCCTTTCCTAAGGACAGGAAGGTCCAGAAATCCTATCACCATGGGTAAGGCTGTACCAGTCACAAAGATACTGAAACGTTGCAATTGAAGAGAGGTTTGTTACATTTCAGAGATGGTGCACTGTGACCTTGAAAACCCTACACTGCGTCGTTATGCCTCGGAACTGACTCAGCGGTACACCACTACCCTGCCACCAGAATGTGGCTGCCCACTTTTATCAGAAGGGGCAATACAGACAGACCTCGAGCCACGCTCTCCAAAGGCTCTCCTAGACCTCGCTCCATATTCCCGCCCCTCCTGGATGGGTCTTTGCAAGGAGCCCTGGTGGTGCAGTGGGTTAAGAGCTGGGCGGTTAACTTAGTTCAGTGGTTCAAACCCGGCATCCTCTCTGTGGGAGAAAGATGAGGCGGTGTTCTCCTGTATAGATGTAGTCTAGGACAAGGTAAGGCTTAGTTCTACTGTGACCTATGGGGTTACTAAGAATTGGAATTGACTCCATGGCAGCAGGTTTGGTTTGGGTTGGGTTGAGGCGTCTGTGATCTCAGTCCATTCCCTGTACTCTGGCTTCTTGTGGGGAGGAGAAGAAGGCAAGTGTTTTTGTCCTTGTGCACTAGGTAACTGCTCTCTTTACACATAGAATCGCTGGACCCCGCTGGCTTCCCTACCCTCCGCCTGAAGCTCTGCAAACAATGCAAAGAACCCCAAAACCCAAACCAGTTGCTGGAAGTTGATTCCAACTCATTGTGACCCGGTGTGATTTACAGTAGAATTGTTTCTGACCTTTTCAGAATTAAATTTCCAGAATTTTCTTCCGAGGCACCTCTGGGTGCATTCAAACTTCCAACTTTTCAGTTAGCTGAGCTTTTGACTGTTTCTGAGACTGTTTATCTTTACAGGAACAGACAGCTGAGTGGCTGGTGGTCGCTTTGAAAACACTCACTTTATTACACCCTTTTCCGGTTTGCCTGGACTGTTTTCTGTTGACACCCTGACTGACACACTCCACCAGCTCAGCCCCTGCCCCAAGTCCCCCTTTTTCTACCCCCAACACCAGTTCCAGGAGACCTGGAAGTGCTGTTGGATAACTGCAAATCACAAGGCTGGCGGTTCAAACCCACCAGCCACTCTGTGGGAGAAAGATGAAGCTTTCTGCTCCCACAAATATTTACAGCCTAGTAAAGCCTTTACAGGGTCACTATGAGTTGGAACTGTCTCGACGGCACTTAACAACAACCATTTCCAGGAACCCTGGTGGCGCTGTAGGATAAGTACTAGCTGCTAATCAAAGGTCAGCAGTTCAAATCCACCAGTTACTCCATGGGAAAAAGATGAGGCTTTCTGTTCCCTGGGAAACCCAATTTAGGGTTGCTATGAGTTGGAACTGACGCGATAGCGCCTAACAACAAAAACCATTTCCAGCAACCAAATAACTGACACCTGGCACAGTGAAGGAATCTCTGTCAACTGGGGACAAACAGGCATGTTCCCATCACCCAGAGTTAATAAATGTTCATCTCCATGAACATTTATTGAACACGTTTCACAATACAGAGTATCATCCTGCACATTTATTTTTTCATTTTAGGAGATTGCTATTATAATCTGAAACCTGCCTTGTTCACATAAATGGGTGTTTTCAAGATCTACTCATGTTCAATTTAAAAAGATACAGATCAAACACATTGATTTTCACTGCTGCGTAGTATTCCCTTTCAACAAATAGATCAGTCATTGCCTATTCTGCTGATGATAGAATTTTAGGGTGTTTTCAAATTGTCATTTACAGGCAACATGTTTGGGGTTTTTTCCTTATTATTTTTTAAACTGCCTTCCCCATCACCCAGCAGGAGAAAGACGAGGCTTCCTGTTCCCGTAAAGATTTACAGCCTTGGAAACCCTATAGAGGGTTGCTATGAGTCAGATACAACTCCACGGCACACCCCCACCATCTCATCATCCAAGTTAACAGATAACGTTTTCTTTGGACATTCTTGTGTTGTCTACTCTGTGCAAAAGGTCTTCTATGGCAGTTTTTCAAATGTTTTCAGTCACAACTTGCAATAAGAATACCTTTTACAATATGACTCAGAAAACACACACAAAACCCCAAACACACAATTCATGACATGATTCTTAACTTTTACTGTGGGACACACTCTGTGACATTCTATTTTCTTTTCAAGGATTCTGTTATTCAATAAAGGAATGACATACATGGGTTGTAGCAGGCAGTTTGAAAAATGCTGCTTTGGGGTGTGAACAGAAGTAACATGTTCTGGCTCTAAAAAGGGACTTTGTAAAAAGCCAAGAGCTTTGCAAAATGCTTTCTGTATGAGTAACATGCTTTGCAAACCTTGAAGGGCTGTAAGAAACCACAGAGCCTGGAGACAGTCATATAGAAACTGCTCACCTACCCTCACTCCACCAACGTGCCTCCCCCTCCATGTGATACAGTGTGATGATGCCCCTCTCCCAAGTCCACTCCTCCACAGGGACCAGAACTCTACCACCTTCATTCGCTCCTGGACTCAGATCTTGGGATCGATGCTCTCTCTGGTCTCATCCATTTGCCCAACCTCTTCTTGTGAGATACTTCTTCTTCTCTGACTATTGGCATTTTCCTTTGCTGGCATCTCATCCTCTTCCAGACGTCTACAGACTGGGGGACCCCAGGATTTGTTTCTGCACCCCCTTCTTGAGAAATATTACGAAGGCCCCAGGCTCGGAATGCTCTCCTACCACCACGATCTACATCCCAGCCCTGACCGCTCCCCAGAATCCAGACTCTGACAGCTGAAACCATCCTTGGCATCTCTGGATTTCTAATGGGTACCTGCAACTTGCAAAATTGGAAATAGCCCAAGCAAAACTCTCTTTTTTCCCTGTAGGAGGAAGCTTTACTGTGTTCATTTGGTCCACAGCTTGGAGTCCTGGTGTGGCGCTGTGGGTTAATGCACCAGACTGCAAAGTCGTTTGAACTGCAAGGTCGACAGTTCAAGCTCACCAGCTGACCCTATACAGGGTCGCTATGGGTCAGAACTGACTCAATAGCACTTCACAACAACAATAGCTTGGAAGAAGAAGGGCTCCAGGGTGGTCACGGTGATGCTGCTTCTGTGGCTGGAGGGCGAGGTTCTGGCAGAAGGTCTGAGGAAGGCAGGGGAAGGCTGAAGGGCCCTCACAGGTTGCCAGGCTCCACAGACCCTAACCATGCTTAAGTGTGAGCCTCTCAAAGAGCTTGTCTCCCAGTCCTGCCTGAGGGCTGACCATCCTGGGCAGGTTGGTCCCATTTTCTTGAGAATTTTCACCTCCTCATTAAGGAATGATTCTCCAGAAAGTCACAGAGATGGGGGGCTTTCTCCAGAAAGTCATGTCGTGCAGATCTAGAAGGGTCCTTCTTCAGGGCCAGGGCGGTTTCCATGGCATCCTGGGTTCTTCCCCAATTATCTTAGAATGGCTACTGCATGTCTTAGAAGAGAACGCAGCCGCCATGTTAGTTTTGCAGTTTTAAGAGATGCTCGGCACCCTCATGGAAGCAGTGTCCCACGCTTTCCAAGGCCACATTGATGCAATTAAAAGAGAAGCCCAGAAAGAGGTGGGTGTAAGAGGCCCACAGATGCAGGTTGACCATATTAACACTGGCCTCTGCCTCAGCAGAATTGTTCTGATAGATTTGAGAGCTCATGGTTGGTTGAAGATTTTTTTTTTTTTAATTAAATGTTTTTATTTTGGATTGAGTGAAAGTTTACAGGGCACATCATCAGCTTCACATTCAACCATTCATATAGCTTGTTTCATTACATTGATTATTATCCCCTCCATATATCATCAGTTTACAGTGTTTCTCTCTATCCTCTTTAGCTTTTTTTTTGGATGGAGGGGGGGTGACTTGCCTTTTTGGATGGTTGAAGATTTGGAGCTAACCACACACCAAAAAACTGTGTTTAGCTGGTCCCAGTAACAGAAAATGGCCAAGAAACTGCTCCCAGAGAAGAGATTATGCCTAAAGAGGAGGGTAGAGGTGGTCCGAGGCTGGAGGTGGGGTGTCCCCGGATCTGTTCTGTCTAAACACTGCTGAAGCAGGAGACAGATCTATAGGAGCCCCAGGCAAACTTCTCAAGTCAAACTGTAGATTTCTATTCCAAAATCCTCCTCCCACACTCTTACGGATATCAGGAATACCATATTGCCGCCCAGGTTGCTTAACTACAATCTTTGAGTCCTTTTTGATTTATCTCTTCTTTTATCTTACTGATACATCAGCAAACCAGAGGGTTCTGCTTTCAAAATATATCTGAGACCCACTCACTTCTGGCTCCACCCCCAATACCCCTCATACTCATATTTCCCCACACTCTCCCACTTGGACCATCGCTATTTTCCTTCTCCCTCCTGCCCCCACAGTTTGTTCTCCACACAATAGCCAGAGGGACACATTGAACACTTGAATCAGGTCAAGTCCGTCTCCTACTCAGAACTCAACACGGAAACTACACCACTGTTGCCAAGCTGGTTCTGATACCTAGTGATGTTACAGGATAGAGTAGAACTGTGCCATAGGGTGTCCGAGGTAGTCTCATCTTTCTCCCGAGGAGTGGCCAGTGGTTTTGAACCACTGGCCTTGTAGTTAGCAGCCCATGCTTAATTCACTGTGTGAACAGGGCTCTGGCTCCATCACATCCAGGTTAGGTCTTCAGCCCCCCAGACCGTGCACAAGCTGTCCCATTCTGACCTCTCAGGCTTCCTCAGTACAGGACTGCTAACTGCAAGGTTGGCAGTTCAAATTCACCAACAGCTCTCGGAAACCAATAACAGGGTTGTTGTGAATTAGAACTGACTCTAGAGCACACAACAACAACAAGCCATCAGCCACCCTTTCTAGCCACATGGCTTTCTTCTTGTTGGTACTTTCAGACTGTACACTAACTATCCCCT